TTTAATTTTCAACTCAAAAAGTGGGACATAAGCTGTCCACTCAGATAAACTCATCATGGAGGGTAGGCTGGTCAGTTATTTATGAAAGTCATTAGCAGCATGGTTGCAAGTTCATTAAGCCATTTTGTTGGCTTTGCAATTACTGTAGATTGTTCTGCAGCCAGGTGTAGAATGCTGAGATTTATGACAGAGATTTTGTTATCCCTAACATTTGCTGATATTTTACTACACAGTACAGTTTAAGCAAGGATACCACAGTAGTTCAAGATGTCATGTACTGCTGACAGATCTATGAACTTAGAATCACAGCAGATGTGTCTGTGCAATAGTTCCTGTTAAAGTCCTTGTACTGTGTTAAATATCTACCATAACAAAATCTACCAACAGACAAAATTAAAATATTGCTTCTTCAGGGTATGGAAAGTGCATGGAGTTGATCTTACAGTAAGTGTACAAAGTAGCATATATTAAGTGATTAAGACTGTGAAGTGTGAAATTTTACAAATGAAGACACAATTTCACTTCATAAGCTATAACCATATATTGCCCTTTCGTAGAATGAGGAAACACTGCCTTGTGATGCACTAAGTATTTAATCATTGCTTTCAATCGATCTTCATAACATTTCTCTAATGCCTTGAATCTCAGATCTTCCTTTTGCATGCTCTGCGTGCCAGGACACTGGTGATTGATAAAAAAATACAGCTCATTTGGATGCGGAGACAATAGAAGATCGCTCCTTAACTGCCCTACTATGGCAGTACAAAACACTAGATTTAATTCCTCATTATAAACTGTTGCTCAAGAAATCCAGTGCTGTTTGTAATGCCAGACACAGCCATAACACAGTTTGGACTACAGATATGAACATTGATCTTTCAGAAGATTTGCTGTCTGCCCTTTTTTTAACTTTATGAGTACTCTGCTGTGCTAGACTGAGAAACTCAACGCCAACTAAGATTTTTTTTTTCCTGTTGTTTCCTGTGGAATGAGAACAACAGGACTTTCAGGGAAAGTTTGAATGCCTGCTCTGAAATAAGCAGCTGTTCTGGGCCAATTGGCCACAGGATCTATTGGCAGGGCAAGAAAATGAGAAAACAAGAAGCTGTCCTCTTCATCCCCATGTTTCTCTTATTTAGAGCACTGAAGGGGCAGAGCAGCGAATGCAGAGAGCACAGATCCCTGCATGGGAGAAAGGGTCCAAAAAGCAGTCTGACTCACTCATAAATATAAATATGCTCTGTGCAACATGAAGGCATCAACCATAGAGTCTGCGCTGCAGTTCTCTTGTGTGCCATGTCTGTTGACCATAAAGATTATCTCTGGTTATATTAATGAAATCTTATGGGCCAGGCTGTAAGATTTCTAGAGTGAATTCCTGCCTTCCCAAAGACAAGGAATGCCGTTCTGTGGTGACTATAAGCATGTGCATTCCACAGGTGAAACATGTGGATCTAGATAGTAGAGATGATGTGACTTAGACCAGAAGGACTACATAACATGGAGTGATGCAAATAAGCCTCCTTTTTTTTTCTAATAATACATTCTAAGTTATATTCAGGCCACACGAGTAATTGATTTTTATACATGAATTAAGGTTTGCTCTTGCAAAACCCAGTAGCAAGACTGTTTTGAATTGGAAACATTTCCTGATATCATTTTAACACTAGTAAGAAAGTAGCAAGACCCCATTAATATACATTGTTACAGAGAAATTACAAATAGGCGATGTGTGAGGGTGAATTTCAATCAACAGTTTCATCAATGTGATGGATATTTTATTAACAATCTCATTTTCATCTCACTAGTTTTCCAAGTGAAAGAATTTACTGACCCTGCGTGTACTTGGTTGTAATGAGGCTTCATTTATATTTTCACCACCAAAATACCAGCATGATTAAACTTTAAAATGGAAGGTGAACCAGGTCATGTCTATCAGTAAAGAAAACCTCTAGAAACTTGATCCTACAAAAGGGACTGCAAATACATCTTTTCTCCCTTCCCTTCCCCTTCCCCTTCCCCTTCCCTTCTTCCCGCAAATTACTCTATGTAACTGAAATTAGTCTATGCAACTAAAAATGTAGCCACCTCTTTAAACCTGCAATGCAATGCTGTCCAAAGTAAGGAATTAAATATTGACGCAATGTGATAACATTTTAGGGGACAAGAGTCATCTATTTATCTATATAAAATCCAATCTGGCCAGTTCTGGTGTTTCTGTCCCACTTTTCCTGAGCTGCTGAACAAATTACACTAGACAAGTGTAAACTGCAAACCTGTAATGATAAGAAGTCTGTTTTGTTTTATGGTAAGAACTCACTAACAACAAAAATGTCTAAAGTATAGAACTGGGCTGGACATATTTGATTTTATTATATATGTTTGTAGGTTTGAGAATACTGATTGATCACATTTAATTTGCACTATGTTCTTTTGCAGCCTTCAACACTAAAAAACTGTGTGCATGTGCATACATAGAATCATAGAATCAACCGGGTTGGAAAAGACCTCTGAGATCATCAAGTCCAACTCTTGATCCAACACCACCGTGGTTACCAGACCATGGCTCTTTGTGCCACATCCAGTCTCATCTTGAAAACCTCCAGGGATGGAGAATCCACCACCTCCCCGGGCAGCCCATTCCAATGTCTGACTATCCTCTCTGTAAAAGATTTCTTCCTAATATCCAACCTAAACCTCCCCTGGCACAGCTTAAGACCATGCACTCTTGTCCTACTACTGGTTGCCTGGGAGAAGAGACTGATGCCCATCTGGCTACAACCTCCTTTCAGGTAGTTGTATATATTACAGGAGGACAACCATGCACATGAGCAACAGTATTAGTCTGCTTAGGAAAGGTGGCAGTCTGGCACAAAGGGGTTAATATTTCTACAAACTAGGTCTATTACCAAATTATATGAACTCACAGAGAGACAGAAAGAATGATCTGCTAACTGTTGACAATGCCAGTGTGTACTGTGCCCACCGAGATGACTTTTGGATTAACCATGGTCCCTTGAAGTGAGATTCTCATTAGGTTTATAACCTATTTATAAAACCATGGCATTGTTTTTGCCATTCTTGGAGGCAGTCAGAGAAAATGAACAGGGCCCAGAAAATACATAGAAGAAGAAGAAATAGACTTAGGGAGAAGGACGAGTTAGAGAAGGTTTGTTCCTGGAGGTTTCCCAAAATAAAATACATCTTTTTAGGTTTACTTCAAAAAACCTGGCAGAACTTTGTAGTGAGGTGGCATTTTCAGCACATTTATTTGATTATTTTCTTCTCTGCTGCATGGAACATAGATGAACTCTGTGGATGATTCCAAGTATGGAAACAAGCAACTACATTTTCAAACTGCTGCCTCAGTAGGATATCGAGGCAATCATACACTTAAGGGTAAAGCAAAGTTGAAAAATAATGTTCAAGACATAAAAAATAGTGTTGAGACTCCACAGAAGCTGTACAAAAGTTGACTTGTTCAACTGCAGTTGTATTCTGTTTATTTTCACACGGAGGTTTTTCTTTTCATAATTATTTGCTATTGTAACTGTGTATATATTTATAGAAATATATAATGTAAATGTATATATTGTCCATAAACATACAAAACCCTGTCTCTCTGTATATAGTATGATAAAATGTAGAAATACAAATATATGCATATTTACAAACAGTAATATAATATTTAAATACAGTAACATGAGTTTAATTTGTACCAGCTGGACAATCAGATAATAAAACATAATGCTCAGTTATCATCCCCTTAAGCACCTTTTATTCATGATCTGGTCACATTAATCGCATTTTGATATGATAAATTTACCAAACAATCTAAACCAAATCTTTGTTTTACTGTGTAATTATGGACAATGCATCTATTCATGAGGTTTTGTACATTCACTTGTTCCTTTTGAGAATGCTGTTAACTCTTAAAAGTGGTGGTGGGCAGTGATATGGAGATCACCATGATTTGAACAGATTCATGTGAAATATTAGCAACAATAGCAAAGCTTAAAATTCTAGACCTTTTCCCTAATTTTACTCTATTTTGTAGTGGATCAAAACTACCAGTTTGTCCAACAGTTTGCTGCCTAGTCTTCTATGTCAGAGAATAATTTGACTTTAAAATGTTCCCTTTTCAAATAATATGACTATTTAAAGTATTAGTAACAGCTTCTTGAGTCCCTTTGGGGAAAAAATAAAAACTAAGAAAGGTTATACTTTTCCTGTAGCAAAATTGTTGGTATGTAACTACTGTCTAAGCAAAACATGTTGTGAAGTTGTGCATCTTGTCATAATAAATCATCCCCTGCATAGCTGTAGCTTTGTGTTTGGTTGGACTGAGGTCAAAGCACATGGCTAAGTGGAAAGGAGCAATATGAGTAGCAAAAATAGCTGCAAAACACATCAATGGGCTTGCTGTCTGCAGCAGGGTTGCTTTGACCTGCTAACAAACACCTCTGAATATTCACTGGTGTTCATAAGATCTCATGTGCCATCTCTAGGAAGCCCTTTTTGGTGTTTGACCACTGAGCTTTGGTCAACTATAAAATAGACAGACAGTTGACTACATGCCTCTTGTAAGTCCCTGCCAACTAGAACTACTCCATGCAATCCTACGCCATGCTATGCTAAATAAACAGGTGTGCAAGTTGCTGAACCAAATGAAAACAGAAAGTCAAAACCTCCTGGACATGTTAGAGTCCTGGGAAAACACATCTGAGGCCCCAGTGATTGGTGTGAAACACTAGTGCAGAGCACAAGAGAAGGGAGGATGCAGTGGACAGTTCAGTGACAGCCCCAGACGCATCTGCTGGGGCCGAGTGCCGTGGGTGAGGATGGACCATTGTGATGTCACATAGTGGTGGATTTTGATGTCACCAGTGACAGATCCAATCCACCTAGTGAAGGACTATGATGTCACAAATGACCAGGCACCTTGCAGCTTAAGTTTGGGCATCTAGTATGGCACACTGGTAGCTCTCAGTATGTAAGCACAGAGCTCTTGGAGGATTTTCCCTGGTTCATGCAGCTGGGGCACACAGGAGGTGTGCTTGTAGCAGTAGAGGTGGTCCTGGAGGGGAAACTTCACCCAGGGGAGCTGGGAAGGTTTCCTTCTTGTGGGACCTTGGTATTGTTTCTACTCCTCACCGGGCCAGCCGACAACTGTGACCTCTCTCCCTCTTCTTGCGTGACATCTACTGTTGCAGTGCTGGTGAGAGAAAACAGCTCAACACCCCAAACACGCCTGAGTGACTGTCCTGCCAGACAAATTCCAGCGCTTTACACGTCCCTCTAGGCAGGACATGGCAGGAGCGCTGAAGAAAGCATGGGGGAGACCACCTCTGCTGCAGGGGGTGGTGGCCTGCGCCAGCCACCCCAGGCAGGGCCGCTGAAGGCAGCAGCCGGCTCCAAGTGCCCCATCTGCCTGGGAGACGTGAAAAAGCCAGCCTACGTGGCCTACTGCATGCACCAATTCTGCTTTAGGTGCATCCAGCAGTGGGCCAGGGGGCGGGACGACTGCCCCGTGTGCAGGCAGCCCGTGGAGGAGGTGCTGCACTCCGTGCGAGGGGACGATGACTACGAGGTGTACGTGGCCGGCCTGCCCGCCCGCCTGCGCAGGAGGATGGCCATGAACAGGCCTCGCCGCCGGGCCCCGCAGCGGCGCTACAACCTGCGCAGGTGGCCCACCATCAACCCACCCGCGGCTGGTGGGTGTGAGCCCCCAGGGACTGAAAGCTCCCAGGGGCAGGAGGCAGCTGCAGGGCCCTCCAACACCCCATCCCAGCCGGCTCCCGCTCCCAGTGCTTCTCAGGAACCAACCCCGCACGGCTGCCCCTGATGCTCCTCCAGACCCACACAACAGCAGAGTGTAGCTGCTGCCCCTCTACCATTTGCAATAAACACTTTGGTGAATGGAAAAGAATGGATGATTGTGGCCTCTCCCTCTCTCCCAGTCCGAAAATCTGGACTTTTTCACGCATTGAGCAAAGCGGTATATATTATTCATAATAAATTCAGGTAGGTATCCTACGAAGTGAAAGGGAAAGCACCATACTCCTCAATAAACTTCTTGATAAAAATATAAACGTGATTAAGATCAGAAAAAAACATACGATGTCTATTCATACCTTGAATTATACATGTCTCGAATGAAAAACTAGCCATGGTACTCTTTTGCAGTATTTAGGTCATGGTGTACATTTGTAACACCAAACTAGAATGTCAAGGAAAACCACGTTACCATAAAAACAGGGTGTAAAACTAGTGTCAGGAAATAAACTTTATGTTTGGCTGAATCTGAAATCCAGAAGACGTACATATGACATCCAATCTGCATTGAACAATTTGATTTACAGTATGATTCAGATATTACATGATATTTCACTACTAATAGAATACAGTCACCCAAGGAATTAGAAAATGGCTTTTGTTTTGTATGTCTCCCAGTAATAATAACATTAAGCACTCTGTTTGTTAAGTGTGATTAGTACAGAATGGAGTTTTATACAATAGTAAATGGTAATGTAGTTACAGATGCAAGCTGTCTCCTAACACATAATTAAGTCAAATTTTATATTCAGTAGAGTTTGTATTATAGTTGATATGTATTCATAAGACGACACACTTGATGTCGTCTCTCAGCTAAAAACTAAAGAAAAAGTAACTGCACATCCCTCACAATTACTTATATTTGTCATGAATCCAAATTGGATATTTGTAATCTTTTATTCCCAACTAATATAACTGTGGTCCTTTTAATTCTATGTTTCAAAATAGACATACCTCCATTTTATGTTAAGATCATTATACATATCCAAGCTTAAAAGAACTTGTTTTATGAATAACGTTACAATCAGAGATATATTAAAAGAGAGACCAGTTAAAGAGAGACTTGGAAGATCTATTGCAGGCTAGACAAGCTTAAAAGAACTTGTTTTATGAATAATGTTACAATCAGAGATATATTAAAAGAGAGACCAGTTAAAGAGAGACTTGGAAGATCTATTGCAGGCTAGACTAAATAGATAAACTGCATTAGGGTCAAGAAGTCCTTGGAGCTGTTACTTAGCATCTGGGACAGTATTAGGGTCAGTATCAGGACCAGTATCAAATACGTTTTGCTCTGATCTCCAGATACTGGTTAATGTATGCTGTTCCCACTGGTTCTGTCCCTGCTGTCTATTGCTAACCAAAAAAATTGCTCTCATTCTGACTCATTTTCTTCTCCAAAAATAAAATAATATAGACCGAGAAAAAACAGGTCTGTTAAGATATGACTGATGGAAAAAGAGAGAAGTGTAAGGGGCTAATTAATAATAATAACAACAACAGCAAGAATAATGAAGTATGGACTGAGAACTGGAGGCTGGTTCCAGGGGTGGAGGTGGAAAGAAGCATAAGTGATTCCCTATCGTGTAATTGAGAGAGCATGGTACAATTGGGAGCTACCCTGGCTCTGTTGGTAAATTTGTCCTTGGGATTTTTGGAGTACCTACACAATGAATCTGTATGACCAATGTGTGACAGGCACATTTATGTTACAGTAGGAACAGATGAAAGATTTTGTTGTATAGGTGACTAAAAGTATTTCTTCTTGGGAGAACAGATCCAACATAGTGATCTCTTTTGCAGTTTGGGAAAGATAAACCTGAAAACAGCAGCTTGGAGGCAGTCAATTTACTACATCTTAATTCATGTGGTGTTTAAAAAATAATGGCAATGCTTAGATTTGTAGGACTCCTTTCTTCGTGATCCCAACACACCTCGATTACAGTCATTTTATTCTGTGGGCATTTGAGTGGCTGAATTCCACTCTAGCAAATATGTGAAGATTCCTTATTTCAAAGCAGAACAGGCAAAGCATAAAAGGCATTGATTTTACATCTGTTTGGTTATTCAGACCAAAAATGCTTCTGCAATCATCCAGTTAAAGAAAAGCATTAGCAGATTTACCTGTCAACCAGTTATTCAGCGCTGAATCAGATCTGTCAAACTCTGCATCAGATCTCAGAACTTTATTCTTCCAATTCTTTTACTTCAGTTTTTAAGACTACTGATAATCTCATTACACCACTTAACTTGATTGTGTGTGATCCATTTTACAGGTTGATTTATAGGCTGTTTCAAGGAGAGGTGATTAATGCATTTGTCAGTAAATCTGAGCCTGAGAGCAGATTCTTAGGCTAGGACACAAATGGAGATTCTTTCCAAAAACATTTTAGTTTTTTTAGTAAAATCATGGTAAGTAAAATTTAGAAACAAAATGAAACTTCAGAGAAGACAACCTAAAAACAGTAAAAGACTTAAAAAAAAGAAAAGTGTTAAAAGGAATCTTCACAGATCTCACAGAGAAGGCTGTGGAAATGTAGCCATGCAAAAAAATAAAATCAAACACAAATAATTGAGTTTACTAAAATTATAACCAATAATATTGTGACAAGCTTTAATATGTCATTTTCTATTCTTATTTCAGTATTTCTGTTACATCAAATGTAGCTGTTTCAGCAGTGCTCATTTCCTTATCTGTTCATCAGCAGCTCTGCTTTTGGGACAGATACTTCGTGGTAACACCAGCATTACAGCTCAGCACTGCATGGTTTGATGCACAACCTGCTTGTGACCAACACCATGGAGTCTTTCAGCTGGCATATGGCACACACATAGCACATAAGGTTATAAGAGCCCCAAGAGCTCCTGAGACCTCTTCAAATCTTGCTCTTGAGAGCTAAGTGTTACTTCTCATCAGCTCTGTCAGTCCAAAATTGTAGGACAGCTATAATTGAAAGTACAAGAGAAATTTGTTCTTTCAAACTAGATAAAATTTTAAGCCCAAATTAATCCTGCATTCTATTAATAGGTATCATGAGCTAAGGTAAAATTATTTCAGGCCAAAGCTCAGCTACAGTTACCACAGCAGAATACACTTGTCTGCTGGTATAGGTGCATCACTGTCTGCTTTATGCTTAGAAAGCTGTAAATGTCTGAATACCTTACTTTCCTTTATTGTTTGTATCATCCCAAGTGTGGTAACTGTGACCAAAAATTGAGCTGTTACAAAAATAAAAGGTAAACAGTAGTTGACAAAATAGTAAACAAAAATAAATGTGATATGTTGATCGTGTGTTAGGAGGAGATTTGAGGAGGAAAGTTGTGTCTTGTAAGTCATCTAGCCAGGGAAGAAAGATGAGAGAAGACCCGCCAGAGAGGGTCAAGTTCTACCTTTGATACACAGTGGGAGGAAGCACCCTGGCTGGCAGCAGCAAGCCCCCAGGGACTCAAAAACCCCAGAGGCAGGGCAGAGCTATGGGACCCTCCAATGCCCCATCCCAGCTGGCTCCCACACCCAGAACATCTCAGGAGCCAACCCCAATGAGAGCTCCCCCCTGATGGTCCTTTTGACCCACACAGTGGTAGAGTCAGTGGTGCAGCCCTTCAACATCCCTGTCTACTGCTTCCAACAAGCAGCTTGGTGCTTTCCAGGGCTTGTGTGTGTCATGACCAAAGAGCTACACAGCACAAGGAATGCTTTCTCATAAGTCTTAGAAAGCACATGGTATAATGGTAGTCCAGGGTATTAAAAGGCAACCAAAACTCTGAAAGAGTTTGGAGGACAGCCATGAAAGTATTCTAAACAACCCAAACTATAGAGAAATAAGAGGAAATTTTTTTCTCACAGACAGTATGAATTACCAACAGTTGGGTAGGAAGCAAAGAGTGGAAATAATGGTTCAGTTCTCATAATAGAGAGGAATCACCATGGGGACAATTGCTTTTGCTTTGCAGCATCCTCCTGAAAAATCCAGCAAGTGGAGAGATGCATCAGACATCAAGGTTTGATAAAGATATAAAATTATTCAAACTTGTCAAAACTAAATTGGCTGCAAAGAGTCGCAGAAGGCTTTTGTGATATTGAGTGATTGAGACATAAAGCAGCTGGTGAAATTTCAATTCAATAAATGCAAAGTCATGCACATGGGGAAAACACAGTCCTAACTTTATACACAAACAGATGATGATAAGCTTGAAATGAGATATTGCCAGTTAGGAGTCACTGTAGATAATTCTCTGAAAACAGATTAAACAAATACAGAAAAACTAGAAGAGCCCTTCTGCTGGATCTTGGGTACAAAACCCATCCTTCAAGAATTAAGAAATTCATCCACACGCACACGCACACACACAACTGCTTGCATTTTGATTGCTCTAGTGCAGTGACCCCTTCTCCCAAATGCAGTGTAGGGGTACTCCTGTGCATACACTTTGTCCTTGCTTTCTCCCAAACACTGAGCAGAAGCTTGAAGTACCTGGTATTCTTCCCGCATTGTTCTTTAAGGAAATTGAAATGAACATAAAGACTGTACTGAGACTTCTTGAACCTCAGCTTTTGTTTGTAGAACTGTTTTACCTACTTTCTTTTGCCAGATGAATTGCTTGTATTCAGGGTAGAACCTAGGACTTAAATTACAATTGCAATAAAATCTCATTATTTATTTAATTTAAGGACCACTCTGTTCCTTTAAACAGCTTTTCTTAATTCCAAAAGTGATTTTAGCTCAATTTTTAAAATTATATTCTGGCTCAGGACATTCAATTTTTTTCAGAATAAAAACTTCATCTTTGTCTCTTTTGAAAAAAATAATATAGCCAAAATGTAAACAAATGAGAGCATTCTGAAAGTAGATTCAACTCTAAAAATAAAAGAGATCAAAACAAACCTTTAGGTTACATAATACAAAATAAACAGTTCTTTAAAGAAAGGCCACAGACATTCAACAGTATGATGTTGCATAGGTATGCATTTTATACTGGGAGAAATTATTATGCAAAGGGGTTGCAGAGTCTCTTCTGTCACTCTATATTAAAACATTGTGGAAGAGGAAACAAACGTATACAGTTTTTGTCTGAGAGAAGTGTGTGGTGCCT